TAGTCCCTACGTCTAGTGGTCCCTACGCGTAGCCGAGTCAGACGATGCGATACGAGAGGGTCAGAACTAGAAGGTCGAATCGACTTTCCCTTATCAGCCATGTTAATTGTGACTTTTGGAAGTTCGTTATCATGAACAGCCGATCGCTTCTTACGGAGACGCTTTGGTTTGGACTTAGCTATTCCGTTAGAGATCCTCTCAAATACCGAGACCCTCTGCGGAGCGGTCTTGGGGCAACTACATGCTGATAATAGTGTCCTGATTATCTTAGCGTACGGGCAGTGAGACTCTAATTCCCGGGTACTTCTCTTTCGAGACTTGTTCATACCCCCAGCCCGATAGTACAACTCATCGACGTTGTCGTCGGAGTAACCTATCGATTGTTTACATGAATCCTCAGGTATAATGCGCTCGTTTATCTTACGCGTTTTCTTCTGAGTATGCAACTCCTTGTTGGCGTTCTCAAGAGTCACGCGTTTAGAGTCACGCATTTGTAAGTGTGAACTTTTGACGGGCTCTTGGATTTTAACACACACCCCCAGGTGGGTAAAAACTGGAGTTTTCCCTTTATACGAAGGCTTGAAATTATTGTGAGGGCATGTGCGACCCCCAGCTCGACGAGTCGTTCGGGGTTCAATCATCGGACCCAAGTGTCCTTCGATCAAAACTTTGCCTCGATCCTCATGTAAAGGACCCAGGCGATCAACTATCCTCACCTTGAATCGGGACAAATCCATGTTGTCGTGGGGCTCCACCAGAGGTGCGGAACTCGAAGGGATCAACGTAACCGGTGCAGAACGTCTTCTGTCTCGACCCTGGTGCGGGTCAGATTTAAGTGACTGACGGGTTGGAGGGTCGGTTTCAAGTGACCCGCGATTTAGAAGGTCGGATCCAAGTGACCTGCAAAGTGGAGGGTCAGATCCAAGTGACCTGCAATTTGGAAGGTCGGATCCAAGTGACCTACGATTTGGAAGGTCAGATCCAAGTGACCTGCAAATTGGCGGGTCGGATCGGAGTGACCTGCAAATTGGCGGGTCGGATTGGAGTGACCTGTGTTTTGGCGGGTCGAATTGGAGCGACCTACAAATTGGTGGGTTGGATTGAAGTGACCCACGCGCCGGCGGGTCGGATTCAAGTGACCCGCGATTCTCGATCTTTTCGGCTGCCGTTTTGGATTTTGGCCTCCAAGTTTGATGCAGTCTTGGTTGTTTCTTAGCTATGTCCTTCTTCTGCATCTTTTGTGCTTTTTGCACAAGAATTCGCGTGCGCGCAAGCGCGCGGCGCTTTTGAATTCGCTCCTCCAGAGTTGAACGGATCTTTTTGATTTGGATCCATTCGTTTGCTATTGGTTTGGAGGGGAGGACATCTGTCCGCTGTTGGGGTGCTTGGCGTTGCCTAATTTTCAGATCCGCCTCGTAACGAATCCCGTCAATTGACTCCAAGGCTCTAGCGAGTTGGCACGCACAACGTTGGCGCTGTCTTTGACGAGTTCTCTTTGATAAAATAGTCGCGCCTTCTGTACTCAACTCCTTGATTGAGGAGGAGTTCAAATCTGTAGATCCGGACTCATTGGAGGCCGGAAGGGCGTTGTAAGGTTCAGTTACCGTAACAACGGGGGCGTTGATCTTCCTTCGCTTGCGAGAGGCGGAGGATCTGGAGGAGGAGGACGACAGATATTCCCCGAACTTCAGTTGGTCGAACTCGTACTCGACCACTTCTTCAACCGGGATGCAGATCCGAGGTTGCGACACGACAGCTCCGGCAGCGAAGCTGTTGGCTCCCACTGTGGTCGCCAGTTTGTTTCCGTCGAAAATTGATGTATTCATTGCGGTATTCATTACAACTTCAATCGTTACAATGAAAAACAAAAAAAAAAAAGATTGTCTTTTTATAAGACTTTTACACAATGAAAACAAAAGTTTACAACTCTCGTCAAAACAAACGCAGAGATCGTTTATCGGTCTTCTGCTTGCGTGGGATCTTTGCCTGTGCCGGGGTTTATCCGTGGACCGCCTTAGATCTGGATCCGGTTGATGAAAAATTCGGCAGAGCTTCGTCTTCACCGAGGAAGTATTTGATTTGAAGCGCTGAGATCGACCAAGCGAAATCAGGGCTCTTCTCGAGATTAAGACCAAGCCTAATCTCAAGGGACGGACGGGAACGGGCGTCGGATCTCTCGAACTCTCCTTCTTTATGCCGAAGAACTCGCCAAGATCTGTCAACCCTCGCTGAAATTCGTGCTCCTTTGACTCCACAATCCGGCAGCACCTCCTCGTCTTGATAATCAATCGCCCCCCAGAAATGAGCACCCGAGCTCGTATTTGTCGGCTTTGGCCGACCCGCCGACCCGCCGACCCGCCAAAACGCGGGTCGGCCTTGGCCGACCCGCCGACACGCGGGTCGGCTTCGGCCGACCCGCGCCTCCGCGGGTCGGTTTGGTCCGTACCGCGCGGCGCGCTTTTGGGCTTCGCTGACTTTCGTGTTTTCCGGTTCTTCCGTGACTTGTATTTTTTTCCCGTTTTACATATTTGATCGTCTTGTTGACTTGCACGCTTCGTTGCGGGATTAACTGTAGAACGCGCGTCAGTTGATACACAAGTGTTGATTGACGCACGCATGCTGATTGGCGCGCACGAGCTGACTGTCGAGCGTGTAGGTCACTTGATTCGCCGTTTTGCTTCAGGCGCTTGTCGGCGTCAGATAATCCTCTTAGACTCGGATAGCGATGTTCGTCGTCTTCTCTCTGTCTCAAGCTGTGTACGAACATCTATAGGCATTTTTAGACGCCTACAACTAGATGTTGAAATATTATCGTATCTTTGATGAATCATAATGGGTATATGAATATTACCTGGGAGCTCGATAATGACTGTATCGATCTAATCCTTCTTTGGTAATACAAAGTGATGAGGGGATGAAATCGTCGCAAGAACTAGCCATCGAATCCATGAGTGATTTTTTGTTTTCCTTGCTAGCAAGTTCTTTATTTTGTATGCACTCTTTTAGTTTTTGTTAAGGATTTGCTCTCAATGCTTTGCTTCTCTAGTGCTTTTCTTTATCCCTTTTTACTAAAAGAGAACCCATATTTGGTTATTTTCTGCAAATTATTTTCAACATTTGAACATGTTATTTCTTAATTGTCGATTGGACATAATCCTGTTCTGAATATTGAGCATCATTGCTTGGAAACGCATGCACATTATGCGATTTTCCTTTCGTCTTCATTAATAGATGATTAATGATCAAATAATATTCTTGAATCATGTTTTATACTTCGCTCCAAAGAAAAAACTAACCCGCTTTTGATTTCTCACAGTACGGTTCCATGAACAATATTACAGTCAAAAGTGTATAGTATAAAATGATGTCTCCACTACGTGTAACTAAACTTGTTGGACATATTGGAAGGAGGTGGAAGCCCAAAAATTGTAACTCTTATTGATATGAGAACAAAACTGCAGGTACAAGATATAAGTATTGCTAGCATTCACACAATATAATAAACTTCACACTTCGCTCACAAAGGAGAGCACTCTTGCTCACAAGGGTACACTACTCTCACACCCACCCACTACACACTGGACGCTTGAAGACGTGTGTTTTCTATAGAAAAGTTCAGATCAAGTCACTTATGATTCAAAAAAGATTACCTTCAAGGCTTCAACGATATCACTAATAGCATATCCCTCGTGAAAATTTTAAAATTAAGATTCATGTTAATTTCTTTCTTAAGAAAGAAGAAATCAGTCTCCACCAGCATTTTTAACATACTAGTTGTCCACCGTGGCAACTCAAATGGCAAGGTAAGAACATCGATATGAACACAAATACAATATCGTAAGTCCAAAATAACAGTAGCTTCCAATCAATGAGACATACATTGAGATTAGATATTTTAGGTCGAGCAAATTCATCCTACTGCGAAGCTTCTATCGTATCCAGGCTCCGGGCATCTGGTAGACCAAAAAGTCTGCTAGTAATTATGTAGAGGAACCTCTAGCCAAAAAACATGCAAGTTAGTAAAATTTAAAGAAATTGGAGAAGTAATTAAAAAACAAGTATTTCATTTCTAGTGTTTTTCTTGAATAATGGACGTAATTCGGTCTTGAACCTAAGAGTGTTAACAGAGGGAAACATGTGAGTAATTGTTTTGGCAATTTTGGAAATTTGGAAATTTTGGTTATTTATGTGAATTTAACCACTTTGATATTATTTACTAATTTTGACCCCTTTATGGTTACTTTGGCAAGCTTTACTTTTTCGAGGGATTATTTCTCACACTGTGAGCTCTTTAAATTTCAACAGTAATGATACTTGACTCTTTCGCAAGTTTTTACCACTTTGTATATATATTTGTTGTCCTGATGATCTCTCGAGAGGCTTTTTTTTTTGGGTAATTCTAGCCTTCTTGAAGATTTATACTAGGAAAATATACCTTATACAAAAATAACCGTATAAAATATATATTGCGTAATGCTTCTGCAAATGATGCAATTGTCAATTATATGCCAAATTAATATGACGTGTTCAAAAATAAACGATGAAGTAGCTTGAGAATTTCAAATCTTAGACCATCTCCAGCAGGAGGTGAAATTTCACCTCCTTCTCTCCTGCCACATCACTTTATTTAATTTAATAATCTTCATTTCCCTATCAACTCTACAGCAGGAGATTTTTCAGAAAGTTTTTTACTTTATTTGGGACCCACCATAACCACATCACTTCAACATATACCCCCACCATATTTATTCATTCTTTTTCCTATTTCATATATATTACTATATTATTATTATTATTAATATAACTCATATATTTATAATTATAATTTATTAATAATTCAATAAATAATATATAATATTTAAATATATATTATTAATTTAATTTTCAATAATATTTTTAAATTAACATAAAATAACACACGATTTTATTAAGCATACGGAAAACCAAACACACCCAAATTATTGAAAACATTAAAGAAAACACACACTAAATTGGTAAATCTAATCGGAGGTTGTCCCAAACTTCTGCCAAATGTGCTCGATGAGATCCTTCTTCAGCTGAATATGTTGGGTCTTATCTCGTAGTTCCGCTCTAGTCTGATTATCTGCCTCAGATCGGTGTTGAACATGGACTTGAAACTCCGGCAACACGTCTGTTTGAACATTAAAAAAGGTGCTAGAGCTAGCATTGTTCGACGGTTCAAAGTCGATATTTTCCCAGTTTCGCGAATATGTATCTCGTTCATCCTCTACTATCATGTTATGTAAAATAATGCACGCCCTCATTATTTTTCCTAAGACATCAAGATCCCACATTCTAGCTGGTTGGCGGACAATAGCGAAGCGTGCTTGGAGTACCCCGAATGCGCGTTCCACGTCCTTCCTGCATGATTCCTGTTGTTTGGCAAAAAATTGATGTTTGTTGCCTTGGGGCATTTGAATTGACTGCACGAAGACAGGCCACTTAGGGTAGATTTCGTCGGCAAGATAGTATGCAAGATTGTACTCCCGCCCATTCACGGTGAAGTTTACCCATGGAGCTTCACCCGACTCAATGTCGTCAAAAATCGGTGACCTATCTAGTACATTTATATCATTCAAACTACCAGGAAGCCCTAAAAAAGTATGCCATATCCACAAATCATATGACGCAACTGCCTCGAGGATAACTGTTGCCATACCCTTGTGTCCACTAGTAAACTGCCCTTGCCAAGCCTTAGGACAATTTTTCCACTGCCAGTGCATGCAATCAATACTTCCAATCATCCCTGGGAATCCACGTTCCTGTCCAACTTGGAGCAACCTCTGCAAGTCTTCCACATTCGGTCGTCGTAAGTATTCATCTTGAAACAATGCTATTACCCCTTCGCAAAACTTGCGAGTACACTCGATAGCAGTGGATTCTCCTATCTTGACGTACTCATCACAAGCATCGGCTGCGACTCCATATGCGAGCATGCATATGGCAGCCGTACACTTCTGGATAGGCGTTAACCCAAGCTTGCCCGCATTATTGCGCCGTTGTGTGAAGTAATCGTCGTAATTTGATATAGAGTCCACAATTCGTAGAAAGAGAGGCCTTTTCATTCGATACCTGCGTCGGAACTGGGCGTCAGTGTAAGTGCATGACTCGGCAAAGTAGTCGGCCATGAGTCTCTCATGCGCTGCATGATGATCTCTATGTATGGATTTCCTCTTAATGTGTCGTAGGGCATGCAACATCAGAGACATGTGTCATAGGGCATGCATGTGCAGAGAGTTGTCAATTCATATTTTGTATTATTATGCAGGTGTAGTCATTTCATCCTTTGTATTTTTTGCAGTGAAATGTCAATTCAACATTTGTTTGTTTTTGCAGTGAGTAGTAATTGAATCTTTTGTACTATTATGCAGTGAGAAGTCATTATCAATCGGCTTTATTGAAACATAAACAACAATTTTATTCAAACATAAACAACACTTTTATTAATACATTCAACAAATATAGGCACCCACACAACTCCAAAAAACTCCTGCTGCATATGGTCTTGTCTTTTTATTTTTCACCCCTTGGCCTTGTCTTTTTGATTCACCTTTTCAAAAAACTCCTGCTGCAACCAAATATCTCTTCAAATAACTACTGCATATGGTCTTAAGGTGTGGACTGGGTTTAGGCCCGACGGGAGCCTAGTTTCCATCTCACAATTAAACCAGTAGTAGTAGTAGCTGTTGTGGTTGAGAAATATACTAGAGTGTCAAAGGTTTTGAGTAAAGAGAAGCGCATGAACTTCTCATCTATTACTTCTCAAATATTCTCGATATAATAAAAATCAGTATTATTATTATATTAAATTTAATTTTAATTTTAATTTTAATAATAATAATGTCAGTAGCTAGATATTCAGAAAAGATAAATCCACAGGGAAATAATGAATCTCAACAATCATATATATAATTAATGGAAGCATATGTATTCTAGTATTTCTCTTATGATTAACAATAAGATTTAGAAAACCCAAAAAACACAAAAATCCAACTCAAATTTGACTCAAATAATCTTTGAGGAATAAAGAAATTAACTTTAGTATATATATGAATAATACAGTAACTACTACACATATGAATATATGCGCATATGAATGACTGTACATAATGTGTTCTTATATACGGTTTAAACCGTATATAAGAACACATTCAGATCATGAGATTAAAAATCTATTAGTAACGGAATGAGACAAGGCTAATAGATCATATGATATTTTCCTTAATTCTAAATAATAAAGGCTTTAAATTGAAGGTTAAACTCTTCTTACTTCCTCTCTCTTTCTGATAACCTGGCATTTTTAATTCATAGTACCCACATTATTATCTATATCCAATGAAAATTTAGAACAGGTCTTCATCAGATACGGATATTGAGCTCATGATCTAGTGTAAGAAAACACATACTGATACATATACAGGTATATGCTCCCCAGTTTTAAAAATATCAAGCTGAAGTATGTAAGTTAAAACATGGGACACGTTTATAATTAAAATGTAAAGTGCCGTGAGCTAGTAACTAACCTGAGAGCAACCAATTGAGATATCAAACAAAAACCCAACAAGAAATGCTACAGGTATTATAGCTCCAAAGCTGCAGGCCTGCCTCTTTTGTGATTGGTTGATGAGCATATGTGATGAATAGGCGGACCTAGTACCGCCCTCCACAACCTCTTTGTAGGCTGTCTAAAAATCACAATAGAAAGCTTATCCCCCATCAACCACCGATGATGGAAGTTACAATCTGACGACTTCCAGAAGGCTGTAATTCGAAGACTTTCGCGTAGATTGCTGAAGGTTACAATCTGACGACCTTCACGACAACTGATGGAAGCTCTACTTCAACAGCCTTCACAATCAACATCGGGAGTTACAATCTGACGACTCTCATATTCTCAAGGAGCCAAGACGAAGATTACAAGACAATGATCTTTGCAACGCTACGACAAAAAGAGATTACTTGGTGATAATCTCTGCAAGGCAAGACGCGGAGGTCCTCCCCATGTTTCAACATCAAAACGCCAGGGTCGAACCCCACGTTTCAACATCAAAACGCCAAGGTCGAACCCCGCGTTTCAACATCAAAACGCCAGGGTCGAACCCCGCGTTTCAACATCAAAACGCCAAGGTCGAACACCGTGTTTCAACATCAAAACGCCGAGGTCGAACCCCGCGTCTCAACATCAAAACGCCAGGGTCGAACCCCGCGTTTCAACATCAAAACGCTGGAGTCGGACCCGCGTTACAACAGGCGAAACGTGAGCGACCCTCGCGTTCGTAGGGGTCCAACCAACACCGACCCCCGCGTTTCCAAGCTACAACAAGCCAAAACGCGAGCGACCCTCGCGTTCATAAATGTTTAGCCAACACCCAACCTCGCGTCTCAATCCAAAGACGTGAGGTTAGGGTCCTGAACGCCAACGTGGGCGTTTGACTCATTCAACATGAGTTGAACGGTTCTAAAACCGTTTCCCACGATTTAAGGGCGGTTACACCCCACTTAGGAGAGATTTAAGGGGCGGTTTCACCCCCTTAATCCTCTATAAATAACTGAAGATCAATTCAGTTCAGGGGCTCTCTTTTGGTTCGGGGGGTTTTTGGCTTGGATCATCGACCACCAGAGCTTTCGGGGCTCTTCTGGCTTCGGTTCGGTGGGATTTCCTCAGCTAAGATCGACCACCAGAGCTTTCCTCTAGCCTTGGCTTATTAACCGATCTTCGGTTTAAATCAACTCTTTTACAGAGTTCTTCTAAACTCGTTCAGAGTTCTCAAACTTGCCACGCAAGTTCTCCACAACGTCAAATCGTGAGGAGAAGACATCGTTCCAGTGAATCAAGACGTGCGGATCGTCAACGGAGAGCAAACTCGACGCAAGCATTCGGGGGAGGCACTCCATCGCCACCGTGAAGAACCCAGTTTTAAACAAAGAGGAAGAACCAATTTCGTTCTCCTCTCTTTTGTAATCAAGTTGTAATCGGAATCAAAGGAATACAAGTCAATTTTCTTTATTCTCTTCATTGCAATTTTCCCTGCATTCAAAAGATGGCGACTCTGCTGGGGACGAGCTTCTGTGACGAAGAAGTGGTGGTGCAATCCGATGTTCATCTCACTGGAACAATCGTCGAAACTCTCGTGGTAGAGTTTGATCAAGCCAAGTTTGAGAAGGCTATCTCCTCTGGATCCCTTAGCCCCAAGGCTATGCGCAAGATCCACAAAGTCTCCAAGGAGAATAAATCTCTAACTGTTGCTGGAGTGCCGAAGAAAGTCCTCTCCTTTGGCCGCAATTTGTCGAACAGTCACTCTGCTTCAGGAGCGAGCTTAGCCTCAGCCGAACTCGCCCAGCGAGTTGAATGTCCCACATCCGCGTCAACACGATGTGCTTCAGGCCATAAACGGCTTAGAGAGGAGACGAGCTCCATAAACGCCGATGATGCCTCTGCAAAAGCCTTAAAACAGGCCAAGAAGAATGCTGCTCGTCGAAGAAGAAGGTCTCAGCGACGAGCACAACTTCGAGAAAGTCGATTCTCCAACCAACGCGAACTTCGCGTTCGTGAGCCTAAACGCGACCCTGAACTTCGCGTTTATGAGCCCAAACATGATCTTCGCGAGAACCAAACTGAACGCGGCCTTCAATGGCGCGTTTCACAGCCAAAACGCGGACCTCAAGCCTTCGTTGAACGCGAACTTCAACTTCGCGTTTCCCAGTCAAAATACGACCCTCGCGTCAACACTGAAGAACGCGACATTCGCGTTGCCAAACCAAAATGCGGACCTCGCGTTTCAAGTGCCAAACGCGACCTTCGCATCTCAAGTGCCAAACGCGACCCTCGCATCCCAAGTTCCAAATCCAATACAGAAGTTGGTGTATACCGTGGAGCTTTGGGGCACTGCCCCAAACCCCGTCGGGGGGTATTCCATCCCCCCCGGACCCCCTGGCCAAGGGCGCGCCACCCCCTGGACCCCCGGCTCGCTAACCGGGCAGCGAGACCCCCGAATACTCTGCGTAGCGCGACTAGGTTGAGGGGCGGATATAAGAAGTTTATGGATTCAAGGCATCTCAACCAGATCCATATTCACCAAGAGCCAGTCCTGTCCAATCATGGACTGGGGGTTCCAGTTCAAACCTCACAATCAGTGAGTAATTCTCCTCGAATCTTTATAACAGATTCGAGAGAGTTCACATCGAGAGAAAGATCGATGCAACAAGTCATTCGTTCATTTCAATGTGAACGACTGATTCCTACGGTCCTCTCGGGACGCCAATGCTGCTCATATGCGGCCCAACTGCTGGTGTTCAACCAATTTACGAACGTTGCTTTACCCAACCAACGACGGCGTTCACACAAGAAGAAGACTTCTGAGGATGAATACCTTAGAGTCACTTCTAACATGATCGGCAGAGGGAGATCATCAGTTCCTAGTTCCGATGAGTCAGAGAACGATCAGTCTCCTGGCTTGAAAGACTTCCTGAATAAGTCTGATGGAGTTTATCAACATACTCGGACGCGAACAGGAGCCATTCCCCCTGTCAACTATCGGAGTTTAGCCAGGGGAACCAATTCCAATGATGAACACTCAGCCATTGCAGAGTCCCAGTCATCAAGCTCTTTTGTTGAACATGAGAGCTACGCTTATATGACGGGAAACCATGAAGATCTCGCGAAGAGACTTGATGAGCAGGAGGCCATGCTCAAATCTCAGCAAGAGGCCATCAATGAACTCCTGGCCCTGTTGACTCAACTCGTCGCAGACAAGGCCAAATCTCAGAAGACAGATTCGCCACTCAGGCAAGAATCTTCCCGAAGGGAAAGAACGTCTTCGTCCCGACCTCACACAAGCAAAGGGAAGGGAAAAATGGTTGATGACACGGCTTCTGACCAAGAAGCCCACAACCTGGAATCTTCCTCTGATGAAGGAAGAGAGACGGAGTATGAGCAAAATCCTCAGTCGGCTAAAATCGAGGAATTGGAAGCCCGCCTCAATGTCATTGCTAACAGAAGCGAGCTCCAAGATGAGGGAGTTGTCAGGCCCTACCCTGCCGAATGGGACGCAGCCCCTTATCCTCCAAAATTTGAAGTCCCGACGCTACAAGCTTTTGACGGCACGGGATCACCGAACCAACATATCTATCATTTCAAGTCACAGACTGGGAATGTGATATCAAACGACGCCATACTGGCTCGATTATTCATTGGCACCCTCAAGGGAGTTGCCTTTGAATGGTTCAGAAAATTGCCTGCCGGATGTATCCAAAAGTGGGCAGATCTAGAGAGACTCTTCCTGTCAAGATTCTTTGAAGAGGATACAGAAGTCTCCATCCATATGCTTCTCGCCACTAAGCAGAAGAAGAGGGAGTCCGTCAAAGCCTTCGTCAAGAGGTTTCGAACCATGGCTCTCCGGTGTTCGTCAGGTATGACACAGTCTACCTTAGTAGAGACCTGTCGACACAACCTGCAGACCAACATCCTAGCTCGAATAGAGGTTGCAGAATGCCGTTACTGGAGACAACTGATCTCTCAAGGCGAACAGGCTCAGAAGATTATTGCCAGGATCAAAGCTGAAGAACAAAGTGGGCAAGATCAGCCCGAGCAATCGGACCAAGCCCAATCTTCTCCTGAGCAATCGGACCAAACTCATTCTTCCCAGTCAAAACCAGAAGATACTACGGCCACTGAAGCTAATCCTCTTCAGTAGGATGCCGGGTCTCCAATAACTATCACGTTAACAACTACCTCTGATAGTCAAGCTCGTTAGATTGTGGCCCACTAGGCGACGTGCCATGTCTACCCTTTTTCCCCATGCACTTATTCAAGACTGGGGGTTGATTTATTTGTAGTTCATTGGATTCTGAGTAATAAATTTTCTGAGTTGTTATGTTTAATAAAATACCTCTGTCAACCACAGAATCTACCAAAACTATCACGTCCATCAACTTGTCAATCCGATTCAATAGGATGGCAGGTCCACAAAACTATCACGTTAACATTTACCTCTGATAGTCAAACTCATCAGATAATAGCCTACCTGGTGATGTGACTCTATTCCGACTTCATGGATAGTGCCTCACTAGGTGATGTGCCTTGTCTACCTCTTTTTATTCCCCTGCTAAGTCTTAATCAAGACTGGGGGTTGGTTACTTGGAACCCACTGGATTAAGAGTAACGAATCTTTCACATCGTCGAGTTAACATTACACTTCTGACGATCATAATCCCCACAGAGTATGCATTCAGTTAGCATCACTCCTAATTTGTCACGTTAACAGTACACCTCTGACAACCCACTTATCAATCCTCGTCAATAGGATGATAAGCCCCCAAAGTTGCTCCAATCGCAACACAAATCTTGTCACGTTAACACTATACCTCTGACAAAACCCACTTATCAATCCTCGTCAATAGGATGATAAGTCCCCAAAGTTGCTCCAATCGCAACACAAATCCTGTCACGTTAACACTACACCTCTGACGACCAAATCAACTTATCGACTCTCTTCAATAGAGCGATAGGTCCACAAACTCGTCAAGTTAACACCACACCTCTGACGACCAAATCAACTTATCGACTCTCTCCAATTGAGCGATAAGTTCTCAAAATTGCTTCCATAGCAATATCTTTCCTGTCAAGTTAACACTACACCTCTGACAAAATCCACTTATCGACTCTCTTCAATAGAGCGATAAGTCCTCAAAATTGCTTCCATAGCAATATTTTTCTTGTCACGTTAACACTACACCTCTGACAAAATCCGCTTATCGACTCTCTTCAATGGAGCGATAGGTCCACAAACCCGTCAAGTTAACACCACACCTCTGACGACCAAATCAACTTATCGACTCTCTTCAATAGAGCGATAGGTCCATAAAATACTGTTATGTTAACATAACACCTCTAACAGTCAACCCCCCCAATGAACTTGTTAATTCTTTCGGTGTTTCAAGCTACACAGGAAGAAATGACACCAAAAATCCATGCCTTCACGCATGGGGGACTTTATCTCGATCCCTAATTAGAGATAAGTCTGCATCTAACACATGCTGCCGGGTAGCCTATTCCCGCAATAATAGCAAAGCCTACGTATTCAATATCGTAGAGGATGATAAGTCACAAAGTTGCTCCAATCGCAACACACATCCTGTCATGTTAACATCATACCTCTGACAACCCACTTATCAATCCTCGTCAATAGGATGATAAGTCCACAAAGTTGCTCCAATAGCAACACATCCCTGTCACGTTAACCTTAAACCTCTGACAAATTCACTTATCAATCCTCGTCAATAGGATGATAAGTCCACAAAGTTGCTCCAATAGCAACACATCCCTGTCACGTTAACCTTAAACCTCTGACAAATTCACTTATCAATCCTCGTCAATAGGATGATAAGTCCACAAAGTTGCTCCAATCGCAACACAAATCCTGTCACGTTAACACTATACCTCTGACAAATTCACTTATCAATCCTCATCAATAGGATGATAAGTCCACAAAGTTGCTCCAATCGCAACACAAATCCTGTCACGTTAACACTAAACCTCTGACAAAACCCACACTTATCGATAGAGCGATAGGTCTTCAAAATTGCCCCGATCGCAATATTCTTCTTGTCACGTTAATATCACACCTCTGACAAAATCAACTTATCGACTCTCGTCAACAGAGCGATAGGTCCTCAAAGTTGCTCCGATCGCAACACTTTCCACTTATCGACTCTCGTCATGCATGGGGAATTTTATCCTGAATCCTAAGAAGGGATAAGTCAACGCCTAATACGCGTTGCCGGTGAGTCTTTGACCGTAAAAAAAGACAAAAACCCACGTATTCAATATCGTGGCAAGTCGTTATTAATAACGCCGAAATCCATGCCTCACACGCATGGGGGACTTTATCTCGATCCCTAATTAGAGATAAGTCTGCATCTAACACATGCTGCCGACTTTAGGTGAAAATTCATGCCAAGTTAATACCATACCTCTGGCACTTTCAACTTTCTTTCGGTGTTTCAAGCCACACAGGAAGAAACGACACCAAAAATCCATGTCTCACACGCATGGGGGACTTTATCTCGATCCCTAATTAGAGATAAGCCTACGCCTAATACGCGTTGCCGGTGTCTTTTTTCGTAAAAAAATGACAAAGTCTATGTATTCAAAATCATAGCATCAAGTCTAAGAGGGTTCATTCTCTTAGCACAACGTTACATGTGGAACGGACTTAGACAATCCACATGCTAGCCCGATTCAAACGGTAGTCGGTAAAGGCTTATCAAATCCGTTGATGGCTGAGGATTTGCCAAAAATCCTATACACGTTTGCAGGCCCATCAGCTTAATAGATGTGAGCCGAGACTTAAAACAGATGAGCCAAAGACAAGTCTCAAAGACTTAGTCAAAAATACACGGAAGCCACTTCCATGTCCGCGTTGCAAAAATCAAGACGCCGAGGTCACACCCGCGTCTCAAGTTCAAAACGCCGAGGTCAGACCCGCGTTGCAAAAATCACGACGCCGAAGTCAGCCCCGCGTCTCAAGTTCAAAATGCAGGGTCCACCCCCACATTCCAGAAGCGGGATTATGACGCATACCTTCACACAGGTCCCATGTGACAAATCCTTTCAACCAAGATGCCTTCGAAGCGAGTGCAGAGAACAAATTCTTTTCCATAAAGAATCAACGGCTCTAAGATCAGAGTTAAGATCCAAAGTATTTCGAAAATTCGTCCCAGTCAACCGCGAACTTTCGAAAACTTTGGAGGGGGTTCTGTAGGCTATCTAAAAATCACAATAGAAAGCTTATCCCCCATCAACCACCGATGATGGAAGTTACAATCTGACGACTTCCAGAAGGCTGTAATTCGAAGACTTTCGCGTAGATTGCTGAAGGTTACAATCTGACGACCTTCACGACAACTGATGGAAGCTCTACTTCAACAGCCTTCACAATCAACATCGGGAGTTACAATCTGACGACTCTCATATTCTCAAGGAGCCAAGACGAAGATTACAAGACAATGATCTTTGCAACGCTACGACAAAAAGAGATTACTTGGTGATAATCTCTGCAAGGCAAGACGCGGAGGTCCTCCCCATGTTTCAACATCAAAACGCCAGGGTCGAACCCCGCGTTTCAACATGGATGTTCAGTCAACACCCAACCTCGCGTCTCAATCCTAAGACGTGAGGTTAGGGTCCTGAACGCCAACGTGGGCGTTTGACTCATTCAACATGAGTTGAACGGTTCTAAAACCGTTTCCCACGATTTGGGGGCTGTTACACCCCACTTAGGAGAGATTTAAGGGGCGGTTTCACCCCCTTAATCCTCTATAAATAACTGAAGATCAATTCAGTTCAGGGGTTCTACTGGTTCGGTTGGATTTTCTTGGCTTGGATCGACTACTGGAGACATGCTTTTGAGGAGATCGGCATCATCTTCCAACGAGGATCATCTTCAACTTCAGCAACAGGGAGCCTCTAGCCTTGGCTTATTAACCGATCTTCGGTTCAAATCAACTCTTTTACAGAGTTCTTCTAAACTCGTTCTGAGTTCTCAAACTTGCCACGCGAGTTCTCCACAACGTCAAATCGTGAGGAGAAGACATCGTTCCAGTGAATCAAGACGTGCGGATCGTCAACGGAGAGCAAACTCGACGCGAGCATTCGAGGGAGGCACTCCATCGCCACCGTGAAGAACCCAGTTTTAAACAAAGAGGAAGAACCAATTTCGTTCTCCTCTCTTTTGTAATCAAGTTGTAATCGGAATCAAAGGAATACAAGTCAATTTTCTTTATTCTCTTCATTGCAATTTTCCCTGCATTCACTCTTCATGATACTTTTTTTTTCTTTTTTTGTAAATCTTCCTTCCCCATTTATACACCATATGGATGCATCAGACTTATTCAAACTACTCGGTTTCAACTTCATCAAAGGATTTAGGGAATAAACATGCCACCTCCCTCGAATACGTAGCTGTTTCTACAACAATGTTTTCATCTTGCATCATTGATCAGGTTGGCCGGCTAGGCTCCCAACAATGCATAACCACAATCAAATTCTTATAAATGGACCCCAAACACCATAACATTGCAAGCATACAACTGAAAGTCAAGCTAGCTAAGAAAATCTTTAGTTCCAAGGGATTCCAAGGAAATGCTTGCTATCCTAGCCATTGTCTTCGTCGCACTTCCAGCATTGGCTCAAGGAACCGAACACATAGTGGGGGATTACTATGGCTGGACTCTCAACTTCAACTACAACACATGGGCCAAAGGCAAAGAATTCAGAGTCGGCGATACTATTGGTATTTAAAATTACTTCTCGTCTAATAGAACTATATCTGGATCTTCTCGAACTGACATCTGATTCTTGCAGTTTTCAACTATGCTACGGGAAAACACAATGTCTTCAAAGTGAGCGGATCAGCCTTTGAGCACTGCAGTGTACCACCAGAAAATGAAGCTATGGTAACCGGAAACGATGTCATTACACTAGAGACTCCAGGAAGGAAGTGGTACATCTGTGGAAAAGCCGAGGGCAAGCATTGCTGGTCGGGAATGAAGCTGCTTATTGATGTCCTCCCGGCTTCGATAGAGCATCCTCCTGTTGCAGCTCCATTGAATTCTCCAACATGGGAGGCTCCATACATGTCTCCCTCTTACTCTAAATGGGAGCCTCCAGCTGCAGCCCCTCCCACTGGGCCGAGAAAATTCTTTGTCGGAGATAACAAGGGTTGGACCCTCAACTTCAACTACACTGCTTGGGCTCAAGGCAAAGAATTTCAAGTTGGCGACATCCTAGGTAAATTTTCTATATAGCTTCGGAATGTATGTTTACATAAACTTCCTTGTTTTGGATGGCAGTTCATACAACAACTGAAGCGTTCCCCGGGTGCATTGGCGTTTTTAAGTACCACGTCGGGGCTCACAACGTCTTCAAGGTAGATGGCCCTAGTTTCCAAGCATGCAATATACCCCCTGAAACTGAGGCCTTAAACACTGGCTACGACATGATAACCCTTGCAACTCCAGGAAGAAAATGGTATGTCTGTGGAAAAGCCAATGGAAAACATTGCCAGATGGGGCAGAAACTGGTCATCAATGTTGTACCCTCAGGATCACCTGGCTCCTCTGACGCCCCTTCCAATTCACCGATATGGGAAGCACCTGCTCCCACTGCAGTCCCTTCATCACCAGCATGGAAAGCTCCTGCAGCGCCGGAATCAAAACAATATATTGTTGGAGATGATTATGGCTGGGGTTCAACTACACTGCTTGGGCTGAAGGCAAAGAATTTCGGGTTGGAGACACGCTAGGTATATCCATATCCCTGCACATAGAACCCAAATCTTGGTCAGAATATCTTTCAAGTTGCACACACATAACCCATATATCTGTAAAATTATGAGACCCTCAGTAACTATGTATGTATGATATTTCAGTTTTCAAGTATGCTGTGGGAAAGCACAACGTCCTTAAAGCAGATGGCCCCGCATTTCAAGCATGCCGTGTGCCGCCAGAGAGTGAGGCTCTGACCACAGGGTATGATGTAATCACCCTTGCGACTCCTGGAGGAAATGGTACGTGTGTGGAAAAGCAAACGGTGTGCACTGCCAGAAGGGCCAGAAGTTGGCCATCGATGTCCTTCCAGCAGCATGGCCGGCTCCTGCACATGCTCCTCCATCTGCATACACACCCAGTCCCCATTATGGGCATATGGGAGGAGGCTCCTGAAGTGAGGGAATCAGGAAATCACTTTCTGGAGGTTCAATATTTCTTGGTATTTGATTTACTTTAGTCTATAATTCATTTAATTTGATTTGTGTTGTAAGTTGTAAGACTTGTTTTTTGTTAACTGGTGTTCTTCGGCCTGTTTTATTTGTTGTCCGCTGAAATAATTAAGATGCAATGCATAAAAATCTTCCAATCAATCAAGTTATTTACATTGTATTCCTTTAACTTTGTGACCCCTTTTCGGATGATCTACATCAAGAACACACCATAAATCGGGTATCGAAATATGAATCCTAATCCCATTGGACTGTTGTGCGCGGCGGAAGCTTTCTAGGGCAACACGAACAATAACTAGAACTAAACCACAAACAATATGCAAACCACAATCACAGCAAGAACACACAATTTACGTGGTTCGGCAAGTTGCCTACGTCCACGGGGCAAGGAGGGGGGAGTTCTTCCACTAGAAATCAAGAGAATACAAATAGGGTTACAAATCTCTCAGACCAAACCCTAAAACAAAGCTCTAGATCTCTCAAAGCTCTCTCACAATTGGATGCAATGATTCTCTCTCTTTGGCTGCTCAAATTCGTCCAACCTCTACCCTAAACAAACAGGTTTAGGTATATATAAAACTTACAAAACGAACCGGGTCGAAAACCTGGAAAAACTGATATCCGCTTCGTCGGTCGACCGGCCCGGTCGACCGCGATCAATTCCGGTCGACCGGCCCGGTCGACCGATCACCATCCAGCAGAAGCCCCAAAAATCCAGAGAGCCGTCGGTCGTCCGCACCGGTCGACCGAAACATCTGCGGTCGACCGGGCCGGTCGACCGACCTCCTTCCAGACGCACAGGAAGCCTTGTGCACGAATGCGGTCGACCGGACCGGTCGACCGCCGCCTGTTTTTCCTGATTCTGCTGCTGATGCTGAAATTCCTTCAATTCTCCACCTCGGCGAATGTTTCCACCAAAACTGAGCCGACACCAAACCATCCAATAGTTCCTCAACAGGTCCAGGAACAATACTCGAGCTGAAACACGATCTCCCCCCATCTTGATCAACTGATCAAACCGGCTGCATCTAAAGACTGCCTACGTATCCTCTTGCCCAAGGAATCAAGCCGAACGTAGTTCATATTAATGGCCTCCAAAGGCCTCAGCACTGAAGGATGTTCAAAAGCTTCAAACAATGACCAAATTTCACTCCTGAAACAACTTTGGTCAACATATCTGCAGGGTTGTCATTTGTGTGGACCTTCTCCAATATGACATCTCCATCATCCAAGACGTCCCGTACAAAGTGGAATCTGACGTCGATGTGCTTCGTGCGCGCATGATAAACCTGGTTCTTCGCCAAATAGATAGCCGACATACTATCACAATATATCCGAATAGTCTCCTGTGCAATCCCCAAGTCCTCCAATAATCCACGCAACCATAAAGCCTCCTTAATAGCTTCAGTAACTGCCATATACTCTGCCTCTGTAGTAGAGAGAGCCACTGTGGACTGAAGCGTGCAACGCCAACATACAGGTGCACCTGCCAATGTAAAAGCATAACCTGACGTAGACCGGCGTTTGTCAAGATCTCCAGCATAATCTGAATCCACATAACCAATACAAGCCTGCCCGTCCTTCTCATCCTTCTGAAACACTAAACCAACATCCACGGTGCCTCGAACATACCGTAGAATCCACTTCACGGCCTCCCAGTGACCCTTCCCGGGGTCATGCATGTATCTCGATACCATGCTCACGGCCTGTGACAAATCTGGCCTCGTACACACCATCGCATACATCAAGCTACCTACTGCACTAGCATATGGGACCTTCGACATATAATCTCTGTCCTCAACTGAAACAGGTGACATCAACGCTGAAAGCTTGAAGTGGGGAGCCAATGGTGTGCTAACTGCTTTTGCATTGCCATCAAAGCTGAATTTCTTCAACATCTTCTGCAAGTAGCTCTTCTGTGTAAGCTTCAATTTCCCCTTCACCCTGTCTCGCTCGATCTCCATACCCAATATCTTCTTTGCCTCTCCAAGATCCTTCATCTCAAACTCGGATGATAACTCCTCTTTCAGCTTTCGAATAGCCGAAGAATTCCTGGAAGCAATAAGCATATCATCAACATATAAAAGCAAATATATGAGCTCACCATCCTGTAGCTTGTGCATATAAACACATGGGTCATATGGGCTCCTTGTGTACCCTCGGCCAATCATAAAGCCGTCGAATCTCTTATACCACTGTCTTGGTGACTGCTTCAAACCATAAAGAGACTTCTTCAGCTTACAAACCAAATTTTCCTTTCCTGCAGCTTTGAAACCCTGTGGTTGTGTCATGTAGATCTCCTCATCTAAATCACCGTGTAGAAAGGCTGTCTTCACATCCATCTGGACCAAATCCAAATCCAACTGTGCCACCAACGCCAATAAAATCCGAATCGACGAATGCTTCACAACGGGTGAAAATACCTCGTTGTAATCAATGCCCTCAAGCTGTGCATATCCCTTGGCAACTAATCTGGCTTTGAACCGAATGTCCCCAATAGAAGATCCCTCCTTCTTCGCATATACCCACTTGCAACCAATAGCTTTCTTACCCTTAGGTAGATGTGCAAGTGTCCAAGTGTCGTTCTTCTGAAGAGACCGCATCTCCTCCTCCATAGCTTCCCTCCACCTGATCGAATCGGGGCTAGACTCTGCCTCCCTGAATGTGGCTGGAACCATATCATCAACGACCTCCACTGATAATGCATATGCGACCATGACATCATTATACCTAGCTGGCCGACGAATCTCTCTCCTCGGTCTATCTGCTGCAATGGTCCTCTGAACATGACCCTGTTCCTGAGTCCCATGATCTACTGTATCCTGTATCTGCCCATCTGTCATCTCATCTCCTCCCAGTGTCACCTCTGTAGGAGCCTCAATGGATACAGTGTTCTCTGGAGTGGGTGGAGTCACATCATCCTCCACCTGCTGCGATATCTCTCCTGTCTGGTCTCCCTCCACCTGCTGAGGGGTTCGAGGCCTCATCATGTACGCCTCGTCAAATGTGACATCTCTGCTAATAACTATCTTCTTGTCCTGTGGATCCCATAACTTGAAGCCTTTGACTCCATCTCTAAATCCCACAAAGACTGCTTTCCTCGCTCTCGGATTTAATTTACCATCACTGACATGATAATAAGCTGGACACCCGAATATCCGAAGCGACTCATAGTCACTAGCCTCCGAACCAAACCAACGCTCCAAAGGAGTCTTCCCGTCTATCGCAGTGCACGGCAACCTGTTCACAAGATGGCTCGCATAAACCAACGCCTCGGCCCAAAAAGATCTAGGCAATCCACTCTGCGTCATCATACACCGCACCTTCTCCAGCAAGGTACGGTTCAATCTCTCAGCCACCCCGTTCTGTTGCGGTGTCTCTCGAACTGTGAAGTGTCTTCTAATGCCGTGATCCCGGCAAAACTGCAGAAACGGATCACTCTTGTACTCTCCACCGTTATCTGAACGTAGAGTCTTCACCTTTCTACCTGTCTGCAGCTCCACTTTCTTTTTCCACTCCACAAAAATATCCAGGACCTGATGTTTATGCTTCATCGGGTATACCCAATTCCTCCTGGAATAATCATCAATGAAAGTGACAAAATAGTTGGCCCCACCAAGAGATGTGTTCTTGGAAGGACCCCAAACGTCCGTGTGAATATAATCCAATGTACCTTGGGTGTTATGAACAGCGGTGCCGAACTTCACTCTAGTCTTCTTCCCAAGTACACAATGCTCACACAATTCCATCTTGCAGGTCTTAGCACCTTTCAATAGCCCCTGTTTAGCCAATGACTGTAGGGACTTATCTCCTGTGTGTCCAAGTCTCATGTGCCATAAGGTGGTAGTGTCCTCCTCTGTAGTGATAGAAGCTGCCAGACCCCCTGTAACTGTCTTGCCCTTCAAGTAGTATAGGTAGTTTTCCCTGACACCTCGCATCACCACCATAGAACCCTTCGTGACCTTCACTGTAGCATCCTCTAAGATCACTCGATATCCTGCTGCCTCCAAAGTCCCAAGAGAAATGATG